CTCTTCCGTTCCGTTCGAGCTCGAGCGTGGTCGACGGAGGCGCGAGGGCGTACGCGCGACGGAGGAAACGCAGAGACTAGAACAACGGTGAAACACAAGTGCCGCCGAGGGAAAATAGGAAAAATATGCGAGCCGACCGGGAGGAGGCAACGCTAGACCGTCGTACCTCGTAGAAGAGGTGGGAGAGACCGACGTACGTGTGCGGTCAGAGGTGGTGCACGATACCGCGTGTAGGCGGGGATCGTCGGCGGAGGTGTGGAAGAGAGGCCCCTCAGGTTACCGCGCCGCGCGCGATTACCGCAGTGTGCGAATCCGCTCCGTTCCGTTCCGCTCCGATTATCGTCCGGGTGGAGAGACACGTCGCGAGCGCGGTGCAGTGGTAGTAACCCTGACCTGACCCCCCGCACACGTTACGTCCCTCTCGGGCGCGGGCTCGCGCTCCGCGTTTCGTCACATCACAGTGTCCACGCGAGGCTCACGGTGCGTGTGTGCGCGCGTGTGCAATTAACCACATCGACGAGCCCCGTCCGTACCTAGCGTCAGCCGTCAGCATACCTCGCGTTCGTAAAACGGAGGCTTATCGGTGATCGATCGATCGCCCGCGTGCGACAGACGATTCGCCGCGACGCGAATACGCGGAACAATCGGCGATCGGCGACGGCGACACATCGTCGAGGGAGTAGCGCACGATTGTCAGCCCCGCGAGGGCGAATCCTGCCTATCGTCATCCTCGAAATCAGTCACCTTTCTTCGCTCGCCGCCTCGCCAGGGAAAAGCTGCGAGTTGAGTGTGACAGCCGGAGTCGCGGAGTCGCTGGCGATCGCCACGCGAAGGACGTGAATCGTTTCGCTTCGTCGGACCGTGGGGTGGTGAAACGTATCGCGTATACGCTATATACACGTTCTTCCCTCCCGCCCTCTTCCCGTCCTCCCAACGCCTCCGCCTCCGCCTCCACCTCCGCGATACGATCCGCGGAGCGACCTCGTATCCGTAGTCGCGTGTGTGTGATAGTGGCAAGCAAAAGGTCGCGCGCGCTGCGTTGCGTATTTGGGAGGATTCCAAGTGGTCCAGCAGTGTGTATCCCCGCCGAGTGGATCGAAATTATGTTCGCCAGGGGATAGCCCGCGAACGAGACGCGCACACGACAAGCGAGAGTGGTATTCGGGGCGAGCGAGCGAGCGATCGAACGCGGGGGAGACAGCTAGAAAGGAGACAGTTTCGCAACGAGCAGCGCTTCGCGTAGAAGCGTCGCGACGACAATGACAACGCGCGTCGCCGAGTGAGCTTGGCTCCCCGACAACCAAGAGGATGCCACGGAGACAGGGTCGCTGCCGAATCGTACCGGGGCGACACGGCATCAGTGGGATCTAGAGAGACGTTTCCTGAGGAGAGCGAGTGAAGCAATCGGAGGACGAGGGAGAACCGAGAACGAGATTATACACATGCCTTGAGTCCGAGAAAAATAGATCGAGGCATGATATAGAAGGTGGGAAACTAAACAAGAAAAAGAGTAAAAGTAAGAGAGAGAGAACAGCGGAAGGAAGATAGCGAAGAGCAAAAGACAGAACGAGGAGGAAGTTGTTAACGTGACAAGAAGGATCACAGTCTTTCGATTTCCGAAGTTCCTCTCCGTGGGTGTTTTTACGCGTGCGGCCGTGGATCGATAGTTTGTCCTGCACTCTCGTGCCGAACGGGAATTGAAGTTACGACGGCGAGTTAGACTACGTGGAGGACGCGAACGGTCCTCTTTCGTTCGACAACAACGACACCCTCGAGCCGCGAGTAACGAGGCCCGTGGGAGACGAGGAGGAAGTTTCCAAAGGGGCCTAGCTGGTGGGTGCTGATTATCGCGACAGTCTTCAACGTCGCGAAGACGCTCGGCGATCGCAAGTTTCCGCGGTGATTTATGGGGGATTACAGCGCGACGAGCCTTTTCTCGCGTACCCTGACCAACCCGAAACCTAGCACGACCACAAGCAACATCAGCAGCGCCGCCGTCACCATAACGACATCCACGATGCAGGACGATCTACTGATCGAGAAGCAAACCACCGGCAAGCCCGCTCCGCTCTCGCCGAGCGGTGGTCTCGACACCGTGGCTGGACAGGACAAGTCGAAGGACGTGATCGAGGCGGAGAACATCGCCATCACTCCGACGACGCCCTCGTCGATAGAGAAAGACATCACATGTAGCACGACATCGGCTTTGCAGGGCTTCGCTGATCCCGGTGGCCGGGTGCCTAGCCTCTGGTCCGCGCCCGATGACGGCGGTCTGCACACCACGTTACCAGTCAATGGTTCGATCGCTGCCTTTCAGAATTTCCCAGCCGGTGGACCCGCGGGCCTTTTCGCCAGCACCGGTGCCGCCGCCGCGGTTTCGACCGGCACACGACGTGCCATCACGGCTAGTCACAACTTTCCGCAGCAGCAACAACAACAGCACGGTAACGCGGGTGCGCCCACCGGCACCAGACACGGCGG